AGGAGCGGGGGAGAAATAACTACAATTAAGCTGCATATTATGCATGGGTAAATGAATAAAAATGATCTCTAAAAGACAGTGTCCAAATGATGGGATTTTTGTTATAAACCATATCTGCTGCACCAATCAGTCAGATAGCTTCATTGAAAGACACGTTTCCTTATCTGCATTACAGACGCAGGCAGGAATCAGCCCATTCCCCAGACCATGACAAACAGACACGGATTTCCAATTTAAACCTGCAGCATAATTCACATTTTTCAAACAACAATAACAAACATGTACATGTGTATAGCGCCTTTCACATCGGGAGGAGGTCCCAAGGCGCTGGACAGTCAGGGACTTGGACCCAAGTTGAGGGTTGGGATCAAGAGGGGTGGCGTTCAGGGAGGGTAGGGGTAGGAGGGTGACCAAAGGCATGGTTTATAAGATAAACGTTTACATTCATTTTATATATTCTATTTATTTTACATGCTTCAGTTGTGAGTCCAATTATAAAATAAACACTTTTGTTTTCATTTTGTGGACTTCTTTGAACTTCTTCCACTAGTTTTGCAGGTGGAAAACATTTTTGGAGAGTTACTTTCACACACTGCAGTTATATATTTTTATTAAAGGAATACATGAACCATTTCTCTTCCTAAATTAACTCCATTTTTATTAACTTTGGTCTCAACACATCCGAGGCTTAATTTTATCATGGCCTGACCTTTAGATAATTGTCTTGTGATTTAAGATCATGCAGAATTTGGGGAATGTCATGAGTTCAGTATTAATTTGGATGCAGGTTTGAATACCAAGAGGAGCTTACTTCTCTCTCCTAAAATAATGGCACTCTTTAAGCCTGAAATTCTACCTAGCCTTAATCAATTTTGCCTTACAATTTTAAGATGACGTAATGTAGAAAAAGGGAGTTTTTCCTCCTATCCAACAATCCCTCAGATAAAATGTGTTATCCACTTTGTGGCTGTTTGTGGAACATTGCAGTGTGCAAACTTTGGGAGGAGAATCCAGAAAACTGGGGCATAATCTTAAAATTAGAGCTTGGCCATTTACAATAACAACAACAACAACTTGCATTTATATAGCACTCTTCACATAGGGTAGCGCCCCTGAGCGCTTCATTGTGGCGGAATCTGACAACGAGCCAAGGGAGAGGAAGGGGGGAGGTGACCGTAAGCACGAACAAAAAGGAAGGTCTTTAGGCGGTCTTTGAAGGTGGGGAGGGACGGGGAAAGGTGAAGGGATTGAGGGAGAGAGTTCCAGAGTTTTGGGGCATAGCTTAGGCATGGACATTTTTTGGAAAATCATTCAAATTCAATCTTCATTTGGAAGCCAGTTATTTTAAGAATTGTGGTAAATAGGCTCCTAAATTGAACCCAAACTTTCCAGGGTTCTACACATATAATATTTTAAGACAAAATGGTCTTACAGGTCAAGTAAGAGTGGGTGAAATTTCAAACCTTCTGTCATTCTACTGAATACATTTGCTTCTTGCTATTTGTATTATTTTTCTAACTCTATTTGTTTATAATTCACCATCTCTTAGCATTATCCCCTTCATATTAAAACATGAATACAAATATAAACTGCTCAAAATATTGCTTGATTTTGAAAAACATTTAAGAGCTGTAAAACAGCAGTCAGTTTATTGCCTTGGATAGGCAGTGGATAGTTAACATGGATTCTGTCCATTAGTTACTTGATATCAATTTATTTAAAATGTTCAGCAGTATAACTTTGTTTTGCTCAAAAAAAACAGCAGGAAAAACATAAACGGCACCATAGGATGGATGTTTTGGAATAGTTTATTAGTTTTTAATGTGTTTTGTAATTGGTTGTGGTTTGGAGATCATCCCTGTTGATTAATTAATGCACTGTGTCTGACGGTGACAGGAAAAGCAATGTCACCTGCAGTTTGACACATGGTGAGATTACAGAATAATCTTTGAGGCAATTCACATTGATTGACATTTTTAACCTGAATTAATATTTCAATCACTTGGGGGGCTGATGTTTGTAGATCTGTATGGTACTCGTGAACATGTTTGGAATATGCAAAGGTCATCATTACAAATGATCGGCCTGGACCCCCCAAAATGTCCTTAAAAAGTATCTTAAAGGTTTAAATAGGTTTATGGTGATTCCCTACCTTTCTGATCTCCTCTCTCACAACTCCACTACTCGCTGCCTCCGCTCGGCTGGCTCCGGCCTCTCTCACATCCCTCGTGCCCTCCGCTCCGCTCCACCGTTGGCAGACGCACTTTCAGCCACTATGCCCCGAAGCTTTGGATCTCTCTTCTCCCCATCTCCCTCCATCTTGCCCCCTCTTTTAGATCACGACTGAAGATCTTCCACTTCAACCGTGCTTTGCAGTCACCTCTTCCCTACCCCCTGGCTCGGCATCAGGCTCCGCCATTGTAACGCGCTCCGAGAGACTGCCCTGCGTGAAGGGTGCTATGTAATTGCAAGTTGTTGTTGTTGCTCTACCACTCTATTCCATTTTTCCCTCTTGTGTGCAAGTTGAGTGAAGTCCTCTTCTGGGCATTCAATGTAAAACACAGGATCTTGTGTCTGGTTTGTACTTGGGGAGTCAAGCAATAATCACTTCCCACATCGTGGAGCAGAAAGCCTGAATTATTCTTTCCTCTCCACATTACGTTGGTCAAGGGGGACTTACAAAGAAGCAACTAAGGCACCAATGCACCTCGCTCCCAAATCAACCCCTATGTTTTGTAGCTCATTCTCTAGAGAAGCCCAGTGTATAAAACCGGCAACAATCTATAAAATTCCTTTCACTGTTAAGCTGACAATCCTATTGTTGTGATTAGACACAGCACAGGTTTCACTGCCTTGGTTTAGAGTCTGGGCCAATAGAAAAAGCCACGCTTTTTCCACGGAATCCGCCACAAACACCCTCCTCCCCTACAAACCCGCTATCGATGTAGTTTCTGGCCCGCGGGTTTACCGGCTGTTTACTTGACGTCACTGTGGGCCGGGCGGCTCCGGACACGCATGCTCGGTGCTGCACAAGCGGAAACGGGCTTCGCTCCGAGGCCCCGCTGTTGTGATTGTCCGCGTGTCTCTCTCTGAGTTTGTATCATTGACTGTGTGTATGTCTCTCTATGTGCATTTGGGAGGGTCTATGTGCGTTTGCACGTGTGTCTCTCTGTGTCTGTGCGTGTGTCTCTCTGTGTGTGTGTGCGTGTATCACTCTGTGTGTGTCTCTGGGTATGTGTGTGTCTGTGTGTGTGTGTGTCTCTCTATGTGTTGTGTGTGTGTCTCTTTCTGTGTCCTTGCATTTGTCACTCTCTGTGTGTGTCTCTCTCTGTATTGTGTGTCTCTCTCTGCGTCTGTGGGTGTGTCACTCTCTGTGTCTGTGCATGTGTCACTCTGTGTGTGTGTGTCTCTGTGTGTGTGTGTGTGTCTGTCTCTCTCTCTGTGTTGTGTGTGTCTCTCTCTGTGTCTGTGTGTGTATCTCTCTTGTCTGTGAGTGTGCATGTCTCTCTCCGTGTCTGTGAGTGTGTGTGTCTCTCTCTCTGTCTGTGACTGTGTGTGTGTCTCTCTCTCTCTCTCTCTCTCTGTCTCTCTCTCTGTGTCTCTGAGTGTTTGTGACTCTCTGGGTCTGTGTAATTTTGTATTGTATGATGCCAACATAGCTTGCGAATCTGCTGTGAATTTTTAATGTACAAAAAGTACAAAAGTACAAAAAGAACTGTAAGAAAATAAATAGATTTCCGTGTTGCACATTAGGCAGTAAATGCATAAGAAAAATCCATTAGGCATTGTTTTGTCCTCTTCACAAAACAAAGAAAGCTGGGCAGACAAATGAGGCTGAAGGGAATTGCTCAGAATTTAAAACGTTTGATTAAAAAATACCATTATTCAATAGGACTGTTGTAATATTGATAATAATCAACGCTTTTGATATAGCGCTTTATTGCGTCCTCGAGACGCCTCAAAGCGCTTCACTGGATATGCTGCAAAGTGGTGTGATTGTGTGTATTCTGTGGGTGAACAAGCAAAATTTGCACATAGCAATGTCCCCGCAAACAGCCGTAGGGGGAGATTACAGTGAAAGAGCAAACAAATAAGACTTAAAGAACAGCTGTAAGTACAGTGCTGGAGTACAGTCAGATGGGATAATGATGGATGCCGAATTTCAAATCCAGTTTAATTCAGTGAGTACAATTAAAATGTCAGCTGTACTGATTTAGAAGCACAGAGAAGCATAGTAAAAGCAGCAGTTTGTCAACGGATGAATAAATATGATGTTAATTTTAGATTCTGGTTCTATTGAGGCAAAATTGCGTTATTAGGACCAAGAACTCCAGCATTTAGGCTTTTCTTGGTGGGCGAGGGGACAGCTGGGTGCCTGACACACGCAAAAATACGTCGACATTTTAGGAGTGCTTGGAGCTCCAGTGTGTGCATTGGGGTACGGCTGGAGTCTAGCCAACATACTTTTCCATTGCACATACTGTCTCGCAAGCTTTCTACTGCTTGTCCCTCTTGATCCCAATCCCCAGCTTGGGGGTTGCACATCCTTGACTATCCAGCGCTTTGGGACGTCCTCCTGATGTGAAAGATGCTGTAGAAATGTAATTTGTGGTTGTTACCTACCTAGGGCCACCCAACCTGTTTGAACTTTAGCTTGCAGGGTTAATAGAAGTGAGAGGGAAGAATCCCTGACACTAGTGACTAGTCTGGTCCCTCTTAAGTCCTGCCAACGATTCAGGCTGGTAGATCTGTCATCAGCAATGCCTTTGGGTACTGTTGGCTTGCCTGGCTCAAGAGCCTGACTACTGAGGCCTGCCACACACAGGTTTGACCCAATATCGATATTCTGTTGCCATGCATGTCATCTCGGAGCCAGTTCAGCCTGAGACCCTGCTCACCTCTCCCCAAGGAAGGTAGTCAACGCTTAAGAAATGCTGTGGTATTGTGCGTCCCTCAGTTCGATCTGTCATTATTCATCTTTTTTTTTCCGTCTTTTGCAGGTTTTTTCTCGCCCTGGAAAAGTTCAAAACAGGTAAATATAGCATTGTGCTTCCCAGCGACTTCCTGAATTTATCGAGTCTGTGTTATGCAAATGGGAATGGTTAAGATGAGGTATTTCTGTGTCTAAAGTAGACGCAATGGTGGATTTGTGTTGGGGTAGGAGTGGGTGAGGCAAACACAAAATGTTCCTTGGCTGCTCAAAACTACTGGCTTAAAGCACACAACGAGTGCCTTGGTTACAAGATTTGTACAAGGTTTGATATTGTGTGATGGTTCAACACAGTCAAACCTAATGAGATGATGCAGGCAAATTGCCTGACACTTTCAAACGCTTGGTAAAAGCATCACTAATACACAGGAGTCTTAAGTCATTTTCCTCGCTGAAAATTTCTGTGTGATCTGAACAATTATAACGAAATTGGATGAAGATTTAAAGAAGGTATATATGAATATGGGGAGAAGATATAAAAGAATATGTGGAGTCCCTTATCTTAGTGGTTAGTTAGCATGTTTGACTCACAAACGACCCGGGCTTGTTTCCTGGGCAGAGCGAAACCTTAGACAAGTTTCCTTACTACTCCACACGACTCTGTTTACTTAGCAATAAGTAGAAACCTGGTTGTTAGTCAATTGGCGGATCGCTTTCAGGGGGTAATAATCCCTTAAAAATAAGAATACAATAATAATTTGGTCACTCAATCCACGACTGTTTGTGAGACACCGCTGTGCGCAATTGGCTGGAGAGTTTTGCGACATTAACTTTCAAATGCAATTCATTCCTAAAACTTGTATTTGAAGCTTTTTTTGTAAGATTTCTCGCTTCCTCCTTAAACAGCCCAACTTAACTTTCAAGGGTACCTCAAAGCGCTTCACGGGATTTACTGTGAAATGGAGTGGCTGGGTATGCTGTGCTGGTGAGTGAGCTGAAAAACAATCACTCAGCAGTTCAGTTAGTTTCTGTGTTCGACTGAACACCGCTGGTGGTGCTAGCAACCTGCCTCATCACGTCCTCTCGCCGTCTCAAAGTGCTTCACAGAATATAATGTAAAGTGAATTGACTGTACATTTTGTGGGCGAAATGGTGGCTGTGTGCTGCACCGTGCCTCTGGTCATATCATTCAGGGATTCCAAACGCAACACTGTCTTAAACGGCCGAAACCGATATAAAATTGGATTGTTGTGCTCTCCCACAGAGAACAGGCTTCCGGCAGCACACGAGCATGGAGGCCCCATCAATTCATGTAATAAACTGTGAAGGTTACACAGTGTTCATCGTTGACACAATGGACCGAAGGCTGTGCTGTAAATTTCTAAAATAAAAAAAGTTCTCGATTCTAAGTGGTTCTGAATTCCCACTCCATCAGCATTTTTAACAATGAATTATTTGATTAGTCCAATCTATTGAAATTTGTAAGTGACTCACTGTGAACTGGTTATGGGTCATTGACCTCATGTGTATGTGCAGTCTACACTAGAAGCATTGCTGATGCAAGAATAATGTATAACTGCTCCTGTGATTTACACAATGTGTTGGCTTAGAATAATAAAACTAATTATTATTATAGTGTAGAACATTTAAATTAATTAATGCTCGGTATAAAATCTATTGAATGGTAAATGAAAAATATTTCAGCTCGTTTATGGGGTCAGGAGCTTCGTTTGATTTTCTCCTTTTAGACCAAATGCCAAAAACCTTGCTTGGTTGTCAATCATTGAGTCACCGTGTTCAGTGGCAGGTTTATGTGTTGCGGGTGTTCTGGCTGAGGCTGGATTACATAGTATCTTCTCTACAAAAACATATAAGACGACTTGTTTATGCCAGAAAGCTGTACCTTCAGCTATTGCTGCTTGCAAGATCACAAGAAAAGTCCAAAGGCAAAGCTTTTTGAACCATTTGATCTCATCCTTTTAGAACACCAACCTACCATCCTTCCATTACAGACTCGATCGAGCTGCCTCTTACACGAGTGCAGCAAATTGGCTTTTATCGAGGTGTCTGTTGTCCTTTCCGAGCTGTCGATTGCGCTCTATATAAATAACTGCTTTTCTGGTGCTGATTTGTTTTGAGCCCAACATTTTCCACTACACGGTAGGTAGCAAGACACAACAGGTTTGCGTCTGGGCTCCTACGTACAATTGGATGAGTCATTGATCTTAGCCACACTGCCAGGGAGATGCTCTCACAGCCAGTGGCTGAAAGTCTCCCAGGGATTGTGTCACTTGTCTCCTCTTAACCAGTTTCAGAGCAATATTGGTGCAGGTCTGACATAAGCTTTCCCCGTGCATTGTCTCAGCTGTGTTCAGGTTAGTGGAGAACTAAGGAAATGGGAAAAAAAGATATAGCTAGACCCTCTCTTTCCCACCCACCGCAAAACGAATCTCTGTTACAGAAAAAATCATCTGTAGTGAATTCAAATGGTTTTATAATAATAAATAATAATAATCCTTGCCTTTGATATAGCGCCTTATCACTTCTTCGAGACGTCTCAAAGCGCTTCACAGAATATACTGTAAAATGACTGTACATTTTGTGGGCGAAAAGCAGCAGCGTTTAATTTGGTCACTCAATCCATGAAGTGCATGCACTCACAGCAGTGCGCACAAACAGTCATGGATTGAGTGACCAAATTATTATTATTTTATTTATTTATGTTTTATGAATTATTTTATGAATCATAAATGTCACCCACAAATATACAGTCAATTCACTTTACAGTATATTCTCTGAAGCGCTTTGAGATGTTTCGAAGACGTGATAAGGCGATATATCAAGTGCAAGGATTATTATTGTTATAGTGTAAAGATCAGCTGCTAAACTTATTCACTATGTTGTTTGTTTCAGATGTTAGATAGATGGGAGAATCAGGGCAGCCCTCAGGGGAATGTTCCATCACAGCCCCTGCCACAGACACTTCCCTTCCCACCCAACGTTCACAGGACTTCATTCCCTGACTCTTCTGATGGATTTGATCAAAGAAAGCCTGATCCTTATGAAGTGTATGAGAAATCGAGAGCCATCTACGAGAGTAGGCGTAAGTAAATTCTTCCCTTGTGTTTTACCTCAGGCAAAGCAGCTATTAATGACTCGCTTGCAGTTCTTTGACCACCTCCTGATAATGTTTTCTGTTGTCACATCTTAGTTAAGTTGAGTAGGCGTGCCATAACCTTTCAAGAACTGAATTTATTTGCCGTCTTCATGAAACACGGCAACATTTCCCCAGCAGAGAAGTGTCAATTTTACTTGTTAAAAAAAAATTTCAAAAGAAGTTGTGTTATTTAAATATCCGGCAGTTCAGAAATAGATTATGTGAATAATTCTTAACAAAATAATTACTGAGAGTAAGGTAACCCCTTATATTTGGTTATATAATTTGACCTACATTTCAAATGGCAGTCATGCCAAAATCCTTTTATCAACCATTTGTACACATTTGTTGAAACATATTTCTGATTGAACATATGAATAGAACATAAAATAATTCCCTTGCAAGCTGTACATCAATACATTCAGTAGCTGACTCTAAACAATTTCCAAACTGGTGTCTCTCTGATGGTTAAACCTGATGCAGAGAAACACTAGTAATCACTGCATAACATGTCTCACTGTAAGAGTGCATAGTTTTGTTTAATTCCACGTTTTCCTGTACAGAACAAATGCCACCAAGGACAGCATATCGGATGGATTCTTCGGGCAAGTACTTTAGCATTCATCATTCCGTGGCTTAAATTTGTTTTCTCATTCATCTAGATATTGTGATTCTCACCCATCAAGTTGCAGCTAATTATTCTGTGCATTCATTCACTCGCTCTCTTTTCTGTAGTCCTTTGTTCGAACAGTGACAGGTCTCAAGCATTGTAATAACCAGCAGCAACGAGCAGAAAGAACCTTAGCTAATCATTTTGTTCATCGGTGCAGATTTCACAACTAACATTGGATGAGTGGCTCTACTATTTTCTTTTGCAACCACGAATGATGAAGTGGTAAAAATGCTCTGCACGCACACAAACTGTCCTGATCACAGATCTGGTGTCTGGCCAGCTGCAGTGAAACGTGTGGGAAGTCTGCCAGTTCTCAACTAATTATTTGGTGAGAGCGCGCAGAAGTATTCGTCTGTCTTTACGATCCAACAGTGTTATACTTAATTGAAGAATTCTCAGCCGTAGTTACTCTCCCAACTCCACAGGATCTTTTGGGGGGACTTTTAAACTCCAGAGTTGTCCTGTGGACTATTGTAGTGAGGTAAATGGCATGTCAAAATTCATCGGGTCTAGATAGCTGAAGGGTTGACTTTTATGTCGTTGAGTTAATATTAATGCGCTCCTGAATTCACATCACCATCAGCACAAACTGAGCACCAAATCCATAACATGTTGAAATGAGTATAACAGCTCGCGTTTGCCCAATGGACATAAAACTTATAAAATTGCCCTGTCTTGTTGTTAGTATATGTGAAACTTCCTCCTTTCCCCCAGTAGATTTGCTCCGATACTCTGGAACACCCTGCCTCAATCTGTCTTTGCCCCCTCTTTGCCCTTCTTCAGATCAAATCCTGAAGACTTCCCCGATCAACCGTGCCTTCAGTCACCTCCCCTCTCTTTCCAGCGTCAAAGTGCTCCGAGACACTACCCGCATGAAGGGTGCTATATAAATGAACTGTAGCAAATTGGAAGAAAACTTTAGACACTGAATGCTGCAGTTTCCTTAGCTCGAGCATCGTTCCACACACAACCTCCCGTCTCACATTCATGCCTGCATGTGCACAATGGTGCTCCATTTTGGAGGAAACCAAGTGTTTTTGACAGGGATAAGTATAGAGCCATCAAAGAGAGTGAAGCAGCATTGATTAATGCAGCTTACTCAGGATGACACACTTGCTACAAAACAAGTAGTCTCCTGGTTTGGATTGAGTTCAATTGGCAGTATTCAACAAGACCCTGAAATCATCTTTTGGACACATTCACCTGCAGAGTGTTAGTACCTCCTGCTGGCTGTCATATGGAATTTAAACTGTCTGGCACTGATGATTTTCCAAATGGCTGCGCAGTGTGTGAAATTATGTATGGTTGGCCGTGGCCTTCATTCAAAACACCTTAGGTAACTTGTATGTTCAAATCATCGATGAACAAGTGAGAGTTGTTCGATACTAAGCCGAACAGACTAGAGAAGACTCCTTTGTGGAACAACTCCACCTCACATTGTCTCCTTTAAACCAATCACACGTGTCATGTTATGTCAACCACCTCGGTCACACTCATCTGCTTTCCATACGGCATCCTGCTTGCTGACTGCTCTGCGCTGACAAATCCCTCAAAGGGAAAATGCTGCAGAAACCAGGTCCGTTGTTTATTTGTAGCAGGTTGAACTATTGGCTGCGGAAACTGAGTCAAATGGTGATTAAAGCTCAAACGTTGCATTTAAAATCCAGGTAGTAAGATCAGTATGGATGTCTAAAATACTTTGGTATAAACAACGCCTTTTATTTGTACTGTTTTACTCTGCGTTTCTATTTGGATTCCATGAGTATCATCTCTTTGGTTTGCTCCTAATTTTAGCCGGGTCTCATGCAAGTAGAGGTGGTGGAAATGTATTCTTTGCATTTTGTTCAAGGTTATTGTTCAAGGTTCTCCCTGCAGAAGTTACAGATTATGGGGAAGTGCAAAAAAAGGCTTCAGATTTGCTAAGAAGAATATCATCAAACTCGAAACTGCCATACAGTTTTACTCAGCCTTAAACTCTAGCTGCTGGACTGTATAATCTCAATCCTTCCTGTTCACTATTCCCTTACTGATCATAACGCAGCATATGAACATTTCCCAGGCTTCCCAAAAGCTCTTTGTAACTAAGACAAGAGCAAATCTCCAGGGCGAGCAGCATCCTGCTTTGGCTATACCAGCTCTAACTCTACAATTCTCCATGCTAACAGTATGCACCTGCTTCACCTGTGTAAATCGTTGTCAGAGTAATACATTTGTGTTTGTTAAATCTTCGTACAGTATAATATACATTTGTTTCCATTGTCTTGCATTCAACCAAGGAGGGCTGACTGATTCAAGCTCACACAACTTGATCCAACTGATTTTGTTCATGACTTCCCTGAATTAGGTGCAGATTACCGTGAGTTAGATGTCTATTTACGCAGACAGGAGTCTGGATTTGGCTTCAGGATTCTGGGTGGTGATGAACCTGGCCAACCGGTGAGTAAGGTGATTTTTTTTTGGTCATCCGGGTGTCTGACACATGCAGAAACCCATCACCGTGCTTAAGAGTATCCTAACTAAGCTGAGAATTCCATATATCCCACCTACACAGGGAAATCCCAGAGATAGATTGTTGGAATCGAATGCGCACTTTCTCCCCGGAGGAACACATTACTGCAATCTGTATCGTAGGGGTTTAGACCTCAGCAGTTATCAAATATAAACTATATTACCAAAGTATATTATTTAAATCAGATGTGATTGATCTGATCTGAGACAAGGTCCCACGTGATGGCTCACAGAAAATAACAAATGTCAGCAATTTCAAAAGTGACTGAAATCTGAGCAATAATATTCTCAGAGAGAACAGTTTTAGAGCTGGACATTTTTTCCAATATATTTTTCTCTGTGCATTTTGATTCCTTCATCAATAAATTAATAATACTCCTTGCATTTGATTGCAATACCATTCATGTCGGGAGGACGTCTTAAAGAACCTCATAGGATGTACTGCAAATTGCAGCGAATGTATTCTGTAGATGAACATAATAATAAATGAATAATAATCCTTGATTTTGATATAGCGCCGTATCACATCTTCGAGCCATCTTAAAGTGCTTCAAAGAATATACTGTAAAGTGAATGGACTGTATATTTTAATGCGCGAAATGTGTCAACCAACTTGCATACAGCAGTGCCCACAAACAGCCATGAAGTGAATGACCACTGAATTATATTTGGGGATTGTTGGTCAGGACATCGAGAGAAACTCCCTTCTCTTCTTCAATAGTGCCATGGGATTTGAGGGTATTTTAACATCCATGTGAACAAGCAGACGGATCTTCGGTTTAACGTCTCCTCTGAAGGCCAGTAGTTGTGACAGCGCTCCCCCAGTGCTGCAGTAGAAAGTCAGCCTCATGAGTTCAAAGCCCCAACCTTCTAACTCAGAGGCAAGAGTGTGACAAACTGAGCGAGGTTGACTCGCCCAGGTGAGAAGATGAAGGTAGCGTGATTTGTGTTGTTACTGAAAACAATTCCAGCAAAGGTGGTTAGGAGAGCTGTTGATCAGCTGGGATGGACAGCCTTTGCTATAGTGTTCACTGTTTCTCCCGGAAGGCTGTTTGGCATAAAGAGTAAAGAGTAACAAAGAGTAATTGCTGAGATTCGGGAGCACAGCCTGCAGGAACTGCAGTCACACAACCACACAGTGTCAGTGCTCCAGTAGACTCTTGCAATTATTTTTACTTGCTCTTTAAGAATGTTCCTGCTGGCCCTCTGCTAAACTGTACGAGGCTGTGTGTTAAGTAAGACAAATGGATAGTGACAGCTAAAGAAATAAGCAAAAAAACAAAAAAAGAGAAATGCCATCCAAATAAAAGTAAAAATATGTCGATATGAATGTGTAAGAATGACTCGATCTTGTGCAAACATCATTTTCTTTGAACTAAGAAGACAAAATGTCAATTATAGTTTGAATTAAACTAAACTCTAGATTAAAGAGCTGAACACAAATACAAAATTACATTTGTATAGCGCCTTTCATGACAGGAGAATGTCCCAAGGTGCTGAACAGTCAGGAATTTGGACCTGAGTGTGGGTGAGAGGAGGGGTTGGGATCAGAAGGCTGGAGGGCAGGTTGCCAAAGGTGTGGTTGAAGAGGAGGGTCTTGAGACGTTCCTTGAAGGAGACAAGGGAGGGAGCGAGGCGAAGGAAATGTGGGATGGAGTTCCAGAACATAGAAACAAGAGTAGGCCATTCTATTAGATCATGGCTGACCTGTACTTCAACTCCAATTAAATTTAGTGAAATCATCTTTAATACGTCAGTATAATAATCCAGAGTTAAGAAGACAACATATTGATAAGGCATCGCAATATTGAAAAAGGCATCCATCCCAGCCTTAGAGAAAGTGTGTCAGAAAGTCGCTTGATGTCGGGGGTGAGAGTTTTTGAGAAATTGAGCCTGCGTTTTGCTTGAACAGAAAAGGTTGAGAGACAATCTAAAGAAATGTTCAAAGATGTGAATGGTTTTGATGGGAGAACAGAGGAAAATATTTCCATTGATTGACAATCAAACACCGTGCCTTTAAGATGATCACCACAAGAAAAAAGGGTGAGGTTAGTTGTATTTTTTGATCGCAATGTTTTGCTTTACCACAAATTGATTTTGAAGGCGTAAAATTATTTAAATGGGAGTTGAGTTAAAGACTTGGCAAAAGGGGTCAGTATTTACTGCAATTTTGAGGACTTGATCTGAATATTTTTGTAGAATACAAAACAGGAGAGATGGGTATCACAGCTGCATCCTCCAAAATTCTGCTGTTGTTCTCCAAGAAAATAAACCGTGCACTTTGCAGTGTATCTTGTGAAGCACTTTGAGACATCCTCTCAACGTGAAAAGGCACTATCTGAAACATAAGGATTTTTGTTGTTGTTATTGAATTCAAATGATTCCACCACTTCAAAGATGATCTTTTTGATCTGAATTAACGTCGGCATTTCCAAATTTTGGCTTGTATAGCTTTTATCTTAAAATAGACTTTTTTTTAATATTGGAACAACAGCTTCAGTAGCAAGCCTGATCAGAGTTGTGTAGAATATTCATGAACATGTCAATGGCTGATGCATCTCAGGCCAGGCTGGCTTGGAAATGTCATTGGTCTGGGGTAATAGTTGTCGAAGAATTTTAAAGGAGATGTGGGAATTAGTCCTCACAAAGCAGAGAAAGTTATTTAATAGTATTATATCTAACCAACCAAATGCACATTGAAGTGGCACGGAACAGAGATACCGACTCATGTCATGGGAGTAAGCTGCAATGACCTCTTCTGGAAGCAGCTGCTTTCTGTAGTCCTGTAAGCAACTGGAAACCCTGTTGCCTCTGGCACTGAAACCAATAATAAAGGTAGTGCCAAGTTGTTCACAAGATCACAAGGGTGGTACCCATAAAGAAGTCAACTCAATCCATTTGATCTTATCCTTCCAGAACATCAATCCTACTGAACTCCTGTGGAGTCCTGTAGTATATTGGTTAGAGCACTCGCCTCACAAGCGAGAGGACCTGGGTTTGAGTCCCGAGCAGGACAAAATCTTCCAGGGTAAGTTTCCTTACTCCACACGTCTCTCATTACCTACCAGTAAGTAGGAACCCAGTTGTTAGTCGATTGGAGGATCCCTTTCCCAGGTGTAGTAATCCCTTTAAAAAAACTCATAATTTGGTCACGGAAATCTATGGCTGTTTGTGGGACACTGCTGTGTGCAATTGGCTCGCGAGTTTTGCTCATAAAAATATAGTCAATTCACTTTAGAGTATGTTGTGTGAAGCACTTTTAGATGTCTGAACAACATGATAAGGTGCTATACCAAATGCAAGGATTATTATGTTTAACTCTCATTGCACCATCAACCTATTCCTTGAATGACTGACATCTTGGCATCAACCACCAAATTGGTGCTTCCTTTCTTACCGCAGTAGATTTATTCTGTAGCATGAATCTCTTTGATGGATGATCAGAAATACGGGACTGATATATTTCTCTGCTTCATTGGTTTCTTAAACATTTTTTTATTTTTAAATCTAAAAGAAAAATGAAACGATATTTCAAGAAAGTCAGAACCCAACTGCTCTCCCTGTATCTGCAGTCCCAGAATTATGAAGATGAATTGGCCTCCTTTAAAAAAAAGTTTATTTTCTTCACCAGACCAAGATTGACACAGCATTTTCCTCCTTGTTTTTGCAAACTTCAAAGATTACTGAGTAAGAGCAAGTGGTGTGGATGATTTAATACAGTTGCAAACATCCTTGATTAATATTTTGAGATATCAGAGTCTAAATTCCAAGATTTTTAAAAGGTGAAGCGTACAGGTATCCAGACGTATCTTGCAATTTACAATCATAGAAATTTACAGCTCAGAAGGAGGCCATTCAGCTAATAGAGTCTGCACTGGCTCTCAGAGCAATACGTTCATTCAATCCGACTCCCCTATCTCCATACCCCTTTAAGCCTCTATCCTTATTTGTGTGATGTTGGCCAGGCCACCAAGAGAAATTTCCCTTCACTTTACAAATAGTGCCATGGGAGCTTTAAAGTCTACCTGGTGGGGCAGAGAGTTCGAGGGACAAGCAGGAGGCCGGTCCAATCGAGCGGAGGTGCCGGGTGGTGGATTGGGGAGTGAGGAGGTCGGAGAGGTAGGGCGGTACCAGAGAGTGAAGGGATTTGAACACGAGTGTGAGGATCTTGAAGTCGATCCATTCGGTGATGGGGAGCCAGTGGAGCCTGGGCCAGAACTGGTGAGATGTGGGTACGGAGTTTGGTCCGGGTTAGCGTGCGGGCGGCAGAGTTCTGAATGAGCTGGAGCTTTTGAACAGTGGAACTCGGGAGACCGGCGAGGAGTGTGTTTGGGTAATCCAAGCGGGAGGTGACAAATGCATGCACGAGGCATAGAGGCATGTGGAGTAACGAAACTTACCCAACATTTTGCCCTGCGCGGGAATCTTAACACAGGTCCTCTTGCTTGCGAGGCGAGTGCTCTAACCACTAAGATACAGAACTCCAAATATGTCAACAACAGCAACAACAAAATATATTATAGGAATATTCTAGGTTGGATTGTGAAAGGTGCTATATCAAATGCAAAGGGTGTTTTTTAACTCTCCATACAGATTTTATCTATAATCAATGCACACCATAACATCACCTCACTATCCTTCAACTCAGCCATTGGTGTCATGATGATGCTAGACATTCATTTATTCTGAATGGCAGGTATGCGTTTACTTTATCATGTGGTTGGGAATTTAAAGGGAGAAATTTTTCAACAAGCTGGATGTAATGGGGTGTAAAACTCAAAGCAAGTCAGAAATGTTGTGCAACGAAACAGCACGTCTAAACTTTTTTGACGATCTAGAGTGAAAAGTGATCTGGTAAATTCTTTCTTATTTAGATTTGAAAGTGCAGTCTGAAGTTTTCCTTTGTGCTTGATCAGTATTCTTTAGAACAATCTGATTTTGATGGTGATTTCTTTAAGCAAATAAAACGAGGCTCTGCCATGTTGAGAAATTATGTAGATAAATGCATGATTATGCGCTCCTTTTGACCTTCATAAAGTTGTAATAATCTTAGCTTTCCTTCACAAAAGAAATGATTATGCAAAAAAATCTTACGCTGAAAACTTTTCAAAATCAGTTCAAAATCTGAAAGAAAGAAAGATCTCCTCAAATAGCAGAATGAATATAAAATGTTAAATCTGAACTACAAAGTATGCAATTACCATCAACGGCTCTTTATAAAAACTGCCAGAGTGGCAATGCAAGGCCTCTTAGTGATAAGTACTGTATAGGAATGGGGTGATGCATTCCGATACATGACCTACCTTATAGGCTTAATGGCCAGCCTCCTTAGAGACCGAGGTGATGTAACGCTAATGCATTCACTGTCCAAAGAGACGAATACAACAAAAATTCTTATATACAGTATATATATTATATATATAAATCTGTACTGAGATTGCCCTGTTCAATACATAGTGAAATATGTGGAAATTGAGAACGTAAGTCTATAATTTGGGAACATGCCAGTCGTTGATGATTCTTGGCTGATCATTAACTGACATGCTTCCTGCCCACCCCACCATCATCGATCAAGTCTTCAACCTCTCTGTCCCCACCCTTTGGAACCCCATCCCACAGTCCCTTCTCCTCGCCCCCCACCTCCTTCAAGATCTGTCTCAAGACCTTCCTCTTCAACCAGGCCTTCGGCCACCCTCCTACCCCCACCCTCCCTGCCCTCCACCCCTTCCTGATCCCGACCCTCAGCTTGGGTGCACATTCTTGACTATCCAGCACTTTGGGACGTCCTCCCAACGTGGAAGGCACTGTACAAATGTCAGATCGTTTATTGGGAATTGCCCTCCACGATGCCAAGTGGCAAGATTGTACCTTTGACTGATTCTTGTCCTTTGTTTTTCTTTCCCAAAGATCCTTATTGGAGCAATAATTTCAATGGGTGCTGCGGATCGAGATGGCCGCTTGCGACCAGGAGATGAGCTGGTGTATGTGGACGGAATCCTAGTAACTGGCAAACCTCACCGTTATGTGATAGATCTGATGCACATCGCAGCTCGAACTGGCCACGTTAGTCTGACAGTGCGAAGGAAGGTTTTGTGTCTAGGTATGCACTGGACGTTTAAATATTTTAAAGAGAGATATTTATTTTGAGGGGTGTCTTGACAGAGATGGAAACCCTCAGAGTATCTGAACCAGACTGAGAGTTGCCCGTACGTATGCCAACTAAACATGGAAATTTACCTGGGTTTGGAACGGAATGCAAATCCTCTCACTGCTTACCAGATCCTGGAGAGTGCTAAAGGAAGGCACCACAGTGGACCCAACAGCAGATTAACGGTCACTAGAGAGTTAGGTTCAGAAATAAAACTGGAAGCACTGATCAATCAACATTGACAGAAAGATGGGTTACTGTCTCTGGTGCAACCCTTGGTCAGAAGTCATGAGATCAAATCACAGCCTTGACTGACTCACAGGCTCCCTCCCGCACTATCGTCAGGTGCTTTTGCTATAGAAATGTAATTTTGTTGTTGTTGTTTTGTCACATTTGGATCGGACTGCAAGCAGTTCCCTGTGATAAAATGATGAGCTTTCCTGGGAAAAACTGTCAGGTTGGCAGCTGTGAAGACCCAGCCTAGTCCATTCACCCAGTCCATTGGTTGAATGAATAATATAACAATGGCTATTAAAAATAATAATCCTTACATTTGATACAGCACCTTATCACATCTTCGAGATATCTCAAAGCGCTTCATAGAATATTCCGTAAAGTGAAATTGGCTGTATTTTGTAGGCGAAACGTGGCAGCCAATTGCGCACAGGAGTGTCCCACAAACAGTCATGGTTTGACAAACAGTCAAACAGTGACCGACCAAATTATTATTATTTTTTAAAATTTATTTCTTGTTTTGAAGGGATTATTACCCCCGGAAAAGCGATCCACAAATCGACTAACAACCGCGTTCCTACTTAATACATTAGTAGAGTGAAGGAATGAGCAAGGCCCACTGAGATTCAAACCCTAAACCTTTTGCACCAAAGCCCACTTCCCAAATACATGAAGTAGGAAACTTGTATCAACATAGATACTGCAGCTAGAAACTTAGAATAGGAGACACTTGTACTCCAGAATAAACATGGCAAAGTGGATGCTGGACTACAATGGCATGGTTCTGTTCCCCAAGAAATAATGATCCTGGAGGCAGTCCAAAGAAGCACAAGGAGGATGAGCTGTGAGCAATGATTAAACAAGCTAGGGCTCTAGATTCTTGAATCAAAATGTCTCTGAAGGAACCTTTATAGAGCTATATAAGATTTTAAACGGGATGGAGAAAGTAAACTCAGAACAATACATCCTGATGCGCTGCAGAAGAATTTTACTGCATTTGCACACATATAAAATCCAATCCACCCTTTTAACATTTAAATGATCCCTGATATCCGTGTTAAAGTGATGTTGCTCTTTGCATGATGTAAATAAATGGAAATGACCAGTTCAGAAAATGGAAGGGTTTGTGGAAGGAAACACGAGTAGGATCATTGCGGAATCATGGCTCTCATGATGGAATCACAGAGGAACATTAAGAGCAACCGTGGAGCAGTTTACAGCTGGTGAAGCAAGTCGCAATGAGCATTACCATCTGTATATAAATCAACTCAAATGCCCTCCCGGTGGTAAATATGAAAGTGGTTAATGATGCATTCTAGGTGTCATTAAATGCCTTAAAGACTTGATGAGCAGCCTATTTTTGGATGGTGTTTGTTAGTCAATACTTTCATAGAATCAGAGAATTATACAGCACAGAGGAAGCCATTCGGCCCATTGTGTCTGTGCTGGCTCTTTGAAAAGAGCTATCTGATTCAATCCCACTCCTCCGCACTCTCCCCAAAGCCTGCAAATTTGTCCTCCCCCAAAAAGTTTAAGACAAGACACTAAAAGGTGATGGACACTACTTTCAAGCACAGCAAGACAAATTGTTAAAGGTCCTTTGACATTACAAACTAAATAAAGTAAATAAATAGTACAAAGTAAATATTCATAATTCAGTGTAGTACTGTGAAAAGCTTAATTTCACTTAATAATAATAAATTATAATAATGTTTGCATTTGATATGGCACCTTATGTCTTCGAGACGTCGCAAAGCACTTCACAGACTGTACTGTAAAGTGAATTGACTGTATATTTTGTGCACGAAACGTGGCAGCCAATTGCATACAGTAGTGTCCCACAAACTGTCATGGTTTGAGTGACCAAATTATTATTTCTTTTTTATTTATTTTTATTTTTGATGAGATTATTACCACCGGAAAAGCGATCCACCAATCGACTAACAATAACTTGGTCTTAACATTTTTTTTAATAATAGCCAAAGCAGCTTATCTAAACAACATCAGCAGAAGGCCCATTACCCTCAAATCCCATTCCCCTTCATAAATTATCACCAATATACATCACAGATTGTAATTTTTTATCCCATTGTCTGAATGAAAATAATGCCTGGCTGTTTTCACTGTTCTCCCTTCCTGAGGTATAAAGATTCACCAAACATTTCCTCATGAAAATGGTGCTCATTTAACACTCTTTTGTTGCACGCTGCCAGTTTCAGTTCATTGTTATAAATATTTTTGTTCAAACAATGGACACGGGATGATATCACCAAGGTACCTGCAGTCAAAGGCTTACAGAGCATGCAATATGAGGGAACTTAATTAATATGTAAGCTTGATGCTGAATCAGCCTTGTCTCTACTGATAACTATTTCCTACAATCGGCCTAAACAACTCCTCCGAACTGGAAGCCAGCCATGCCGCTGGCAATCACTTTGTGAATAAAACAGTTTTTTTTTAAAAACAATGCATCAGAAATGGACGGCACACAGCAGAAGAATGTTAATTGTAATGTTTAGTACAAGTGCTTTTACAAAAAGAGGCGAAAATTCCTCTCTTAAGATCCTCTGAGCACCTCTTTGTCACCTGGCACTTTTGAAAGTGGATGATTTGAGGAACAGTGACTTTTAATTGTATTGAGATGAAAAATTAATTAATATTTAATGAATAGCCCTCTAACCAATATGCTTTGTGGAGGCCTGTAGAGCATTTGATTAGAGCACTCGCCTCACAAGTTAGTGGACCTGGGTTCGATTAGGCAAGTTTCCTTACTCCACAAGGCTCTGTTTACCTAACAAGTAGAAATCCGGTTGTTAGTCGATTTACGGATTACGTTTCTGGGAGGTAGTTATCCCTTAATAATATAAAAAGAATAATTTGGTCACTCAATCCACAACTATTTGTGGGCCGCAATTGGCTGTCGCGTTTCGCCCACAAAATGTATCCAGTCAATTCACTTAACAGTGTATCCTGTGAAACACCTTGAGACGTCTCGAAGATGTGATAAAGCGTTATATATAAATGCAAGGATTATTATTATTACGTTCCAGAGTCAGATTTTCAAGTCCCTGTGAAACACCAAACAGAAAAGAAATGGAAAGGGGAAAAAAAATCACCCTGTACTCAAATCTCCATAAACCTTGCACCTTCCCCTCGCTGGGCAGAAGGGCAATCAAACTGCTGCACCCAGTTATCTACCAGTCCTGCTCTTCAGATAGGAGTGTGGCTTTGCACATAACAGGCTCATAATTTATCTTGCGGTTTGCAAGGTTGAGATCAGAAAATCACTGTGTTGGGAATTGTGGACACATAGCTTACTCTACCACTTAGAAGCACAGCGCTATAGTGCTCTAATGTGCTGTGCCTTGGTGCATACCAGTCTCTAATCAATTTTGCCTTTGCTTCCATGTTCCTTACATAATGTGTACAGTGTTACTTCAGGTTATAAATTAGAAGGGGTTATAAATACAAAACAAAGTTATTGTCATACATTATTTTTTACTAAAAAGGGCCATTTAAAAATCGACTTCACAAACGCAGAAATAGATATTATTTCAGAGCAGAGAAATATCGTTCGAATGTTGTACAATACCACTTGACCAACTAATTGTTTTTAGTTTACGTTAGTTTTCCATTTTCGTTGCGAGATTGCTTCTCTGTCAAAGCTGCTGTTTTCTTTTGGAGACGTAACTGAATTGGGGGTCAAGCCTTCAGCCTCTCTGCCCCAACCCGTTGGAACTCCATCCCACAGTCCCTTTACCTCGCTCCCTCCCCTTTACCTCCTTCAAGGCCCATCTCAAGACTCTCCTCTTCGACCACGCCTTCAGTCACCATCCTACCCCTGCCCTCCACCCCTCCTGATCCCAACGCCTAGCTCGGGTCCAAATCCCTGACTCCAGCGCCTTGGAACATCCTTCCAACATGAAAGGCGCCATACAAATGTAATTGTTTTTGTTGTTGTGTAACGTTTGTCTGTATTATAGGTGAGCCATGTCCTGAGAATGGCCGAAGCCCTGGATCTGTGTCTACGCAGCACAGCTCTCCAAGAAGCGATTATGCTGCTTACCCCACCAGCACACAAGCGCCTGCTAGCAGTTCCTCTCCGGCAGAGAGTTTGCTCAGTCACGGTTTGCAACCAAATGACGTTGTTATCCATCGCAAGGAGAATGAAGGCTTTGGATTTGTGATCATCAGTTCGTTAAACAGGCCGGAGACGGGAGCAGCAGTCGGTAAGAAAAGCCGTTTTAACAAATGAAAACGTTCTGTATTTATTGTCTTTTCTTTCGTACATCAAGGCTGAAGTGGATAGATTTTTGTTAGGGAAGGGATATGGATATGGAGCAAAGGCAGGTAATTGGAGTTGAGGTATAGATCAGCCATGATTTAATAGAATGGCGCAACAGGTTCGAGGATGTGAATGGCCTACTCCTGTTCCTATGTTCCTAAACCCACCACTGAATAGTGAAACATTCAGACAACCAAATCAGGGACATCGCCCTATTTTAACTGGTGGCTGTTCAAACCATTTTAAACCTGTCTCAATCCCTAATTTGCACATAACAGCACAATAATTCTCCTTCTCAAACCCAAAATTCCCACAAGAGAAAAGATTCTTGAGTTGAGCCAGTTATGTATCAATTCTATATACTACCTTTGGGCATTGTGAAGCAACTTCTTAGGAAGAGATCATGCACAGAATTAGAAAATACAAAATAAATCGTTAGCCATTTCCAGTTCTGTACAAGAATCCAAATTACTCTGGGCAATTCTTGTAGCGTACACTGCTAATAAAGTTACCAGCAAGAGGCAATCACACTTGTAAGGTTGAGCTTCAGATGTATAATCACAGCTACTGCAGCAAAGCCCTGCAGTGAAGTGAAAACCAAACTATGGTGGGCTTCTGTACCACCTTAAACAATTTAATGATTGATCAGAACCTGCTATTTTGTCAGCCTATAATAATGGCATTTCTCTCTGAGTGCCTGTGCTGTCCAGCGCCTTGGGACATCCTCCTGACGTGAAAGGCGCTACACAAATGTGATCTTGTTGTTGTTGTTTGAGTATACATGGAGGGATTCTGCCTTCTCTGAATTAACACAGAAGAAAGCAAGAGTTATAATTTGGCTTCAAGCATTCAACATTGCTGAAACATAGATTTGTTATTGCACTCTAGAGTGTAATATAAAAGTCGATTTAAAGTACATTCTTTCCTCTTTTGCTGTAGCTTTCCTTTTATTCTTTTCCCTCTAATTATCTTTTCTCTCATTTTTCCATTTCTCTCTCTTCTCGTCCCCTAACACAGCCCTTTTTTCTCCTCTTTCCTTCACAACGCATCTCCAGGGATGAACTTCATTTTTAATAGAGTGCTATTACTTGTTTCTATGGTTCCTAGCATAGCTTCATTTTCACAGATTGGAGGAACGTAAGAACAGAAGTTGACCTGATGGCCAACCAAGACCATTTTGTAATTTTATCAAATCATAGTAGACTCCATTTCCCAGCCTTTTCTCCATTAACATGGATATTAATTATACTATCTCTATCTCCCTTTCAAGCACTTCTAGTACAGTGCAACGCCAACAATAACTTGCATTTATGCAGCGCCCTTCACTTAGGATAACGTCTCAGAGCGCTGTAGGGTGGCAGGGTTGGATGCTGAGCAAGAGGGAAGGGGAAGAGACTATAGACACAGTTGAAGAGGTAGATTTTCAAGTGGGATTTAAAGATAAAGAGGGGTGAGGTGGAGGGATTGAAGCAGAGAGTTCATTCTACGTTCTCATAACTTTTTGTATAAAGAAATATTTTCCGATTTCACTTTTAACTTCAGTCTACTTGCTTTTTTGGAGTTCTGCAGCTCAGTGGTTAGAGCAGTCGCCTCACAAGCGAGAGGACCTGGGTTCGATTCCCAGCAATTGGTCAAGTTTCCTTACACCAAACACCTCTGTTAACCGAGCAGTAAGTAGGAACCCAGTTGTTAGTCGATTGGCGGATCACTTTTCCCAGGGTAATAATTCCTTAAAAAAATAACTTGGTCACTCAATCCACAACTGCGTGTGGGACACTGCTGGGCGCAATTGGCTACTACGTTTCACCCACAAAATATACAGTCAATTCAATTTACAGTATATTCTGTGAGACGTCTCGAAGGCGTGGTAAAGGCGCTATATCAAATACAAGGATTATTATTATTATTATTACTTCCACTCTTTATGGAGAGGAAGCTAATTCTTTAGTAATAAAAATATTAGTCAATTCTCAAAGTCGGGACACTCTTTGGTACTGGTGAAATGTCTACAGTTTCCTTGCTACGTCTCCTGATTCGGATAAGATGTTTGAAAATATGTGTGAATTTAGGATGAAGTTAGGAATGGTAGATGAATTGAGCCCAAAGTAATGCAAACCTGAAGGGAGCTTGTAAGTGCACTCCCAACCTGGAAGCCTGGCTGGATGACAGATTGCTTGGGTTATGAAACCAGATCTGACAGGTGTGTACCACTGGGACAATCCACCAACCAGACTGCAAGATCAAATCTGACATGCATCTTGATAACTGCAGAGTGAACCTCCTTTTTTGCTGAGAGTCAAACCACATCTGTTAAAGTTTGAAACTTCTGATCATCCCCATTAACGTTGAATAGCATTTAATTCACTTATTTTTCCCCAACAAGTTTAAATGTTGAACAATTTATTTCTGCTCTCAAAAGCAATTTGCGAAAGTTATGTATTTTCATTATTATATTTCATCCTATGAACCATATCAAGAATTGATCAGAAACATTATGAATTTTTAAAATGTTATTCAAGAGTTTCTTGCGCAAATAGCTTTTTGACTTTGAACTTCAAGCGAGAGACCTGGGTTCGATTCCTGGCAGGGCGAAACATTGGTCAAGTTTCCTTAATCCATACGCCTCTGTTTACCTAACAGTAAGTAGGAACCCGGTTGTTAGTCAATTGGCGGATCCCTACGTGGGGGTAGTAATTCCTTAAAAAAAAAATAATAATTCGGTCAGTCAATCCACGACTGTTTGTGGGGCACTGCTATGCGCAATTGGCTGCCGGATTTCTCCCACAATATATGCAGTCAATTCACTTTTAGTATATTCTGTGAAGTGCTTTGAGACGTCTCGAAGACGTGATAAGGTGCTATATCAAATGCGAGGATTATGAGTATAATTATTATGAGAGGTTGGAGTCATGAAGGATTTTTGTTTTATTTTTGGACTAGCCAAATGCACTGTAAATGTGGTCTTTTCCAGTCCTATGCATTCCTAGGTTCCTATAATTGTGTATGCATGGTTGTGATAGAAGATCGGTGCTAAATAATTAAGTCTTTTCCGACAAAAACATTTCTTAGCTTGTTTACGAGGTGAAAAAGTCTGCAGTCCACTGTTTATGAAAATGTTCCGCTTAAGGAATTTGAGAAAGATGCAGCCCTTGTATAATTTATAAGGAGAGAACCTTTTTATCGTTCTTATTCATATAGACAGCATTTTTTTTTCTCTCCCTGAGGAAATTGAAGGAGTTAGCAGGGCACCAAAGCAATCAGTTTGTATTACGTGATGGCTAAGGAAACGTGTTAAGTTTAAGAACTCAAAACGCACCCAAAGAGTACAAGTCTTTCTGGGCAGCCGGGTGTCTGACACGTGAGGAAGCCCATCACCATGCTGAAGAGTATCCAAACCAGCCTGAGAATTCCATGTATCCCAAATACACATGGAAATCCCAGAAAAACCACATAGCTCGCCATTGATAGTGGAGTACAACTCAAATTGTGAGCAATCTGTAAAATTAGCAAATATGAGACACAATAGCCTCACTCCTAATTGAGTGCGATTGCCATGTCCCTGTCATTTAGTCAAATCCAGATTCTTAGTGTCACGGCAATGGATTTGTAAAATTGTATGATCTCTCAGCCTTTTAGTTTCACGTGCGTCCCAATGGCTCGGTGGTTAATTTTGTGCCTCATGTGGTAGGAAGCAACACACATCAGGAAGTCCTAGGTTTATTCCCTTGTATGAGTTGAGTTATTTTGATCTTGGCCAGGGTGATGAGAGGTACACAACTATAGTAAACTATAGTATAGCTCGTCACTCCAAGGGAAAAGGGCTCAGTGATGAGTTATCAGGAGTGGCGAGTTATAAATACGTCAATAAATGCGGCCGAGATATTGACAGCATAATGGCTTAAGTCGGGGTGTTTCAGCTGGCGGCCTGTAGGCCAATTTCATTCCCCTCCTCCCCCCCCAGCCGCCTGCCCCCCTCCCATTTCATCTGGCCCTCCCTCCTTAACCTGTAAACGATATGTTATGTTTCTGGAAGGGAAATGTAAATGTATCGTTTACGTGGGCCCGCAGACGTTTCTCAAATAGGACATCCAGCCCTCAGCAACCCAAAAGGTTGGACCAACCTCCCTGATTAAGTGATAGTGACAAGTTAACCCAGGGTCGAGCTATCATGAGTTTACTGTTTCGGCACATTTTCTCGGATGAGGAAGGGAGAAATTCGAGGGTTCTCGTTTCTGGTTCCTGCTGAAAAGTAGACAACAACAACAACAAAATTATTTTTGTATAGCGCCTTTCGCATCGAGAGAACGTCCCAAGACGTACAGCATGTGAGAGTGGCATTGAGCTCCAGAAAAAAATATTTTGTTTAATGGAATCCATCCTTTAAAATGCATTTTTTTTGTAAAAACATAAAAGATTTTTTTCTTCCCAATTCTAACAGTGGAAGCTTAAACATTATGTGAGCAGTTAACATTAGAGGAGAAAGAGAATTCACAATGAATGCTCAGGATACAACAGTATATTTCGCAACTGGGAGAAAGATCTCATAACAAGTTATGAAATCTTCCTCTTGGGTGGAATAAACAGAGTATTCCTCATTTTTCCAGTGCATATTTTGTTTATACAACAGCTGTAGGAATACTAGTTTGAAATTGTTTGTTTTATTGACTTTTTTTGAAAAAAGCTTATTTTAATGGTGATTATGAAAGTCACTTGCACAAACCTGTTTAATGTGCAAGTTGTCTCTCAGTTCTCCAGCCCACCAACTTTAAAGCCTCTTTGGAGGTTTAAAGTATTGTCATGGAGCAATTTCAGCTCAATTACTAGTACTAAACTACTGTGAGGAAGGTGTTAGACCCACTATAAATACTTAACTCCACAACACCACACAAATAAAGAAATTTGAATATCGACAAATTCACTGTTATGATGGTGTTCAGAATAAGT